CCCCCTGGAAAAAGACTCGGGTCTGGCTCGGCACCTTCGACTCGGCGGAGGACGCGGCTCGAGCCTACGACGCAGCCGCTCGATCCCTCCGTGGGCCCAAGGCCAAGACCAACTTCCCTCCCCCTACCTCCGCCGCGGATTACGACATCAACAATAACCACCGCCTCCCTCCTCATCATCCTACTCTCTACGACGACGACACGGTTTGCGATGTCGTTCAGGCAAGCAGGCCCACCTCCAGCAGCCTCAGCAGCACCGTCGAGTCGTTCAGTGGGCCCCGCCCCCAGCCCAGGCCCAACTCCGATGCTCAGCTGCAGCGGAGACCCGTGCACCCTGTCCCACCCGATGACTGCCACAGCGACTGCGACTCCTCATCCTCCGTCGTTGACGACGGCGATGATTGCGTCCTGACGTCGTCGTTTCGGAGAGTCTCGCCTTTGCCGTTCGATCTCAACCTGCCGCCGCCCCCGATGATGGACGGCCTCGATTTATTCAAATCCGGTGAGGTTTGTGGTGATGATCATGATCTTCAAGCCACCGCTTTGTGCCTCTAATTACCGTATGGATCTCCATAATGGTTCTCCCCTTTTTCCTTTCTTCTTTCGTTTTTTTTTTTTGTCTGCCCTTATTTTCTCGGGAAAATCATTATAAAAAAAAAAAGAAAAGAAAAAAAGAAGAGGAAATCTGGTACTTGGTGATTGAGAAGAAGAATTTGAGTTTTTTTCTTTTCTTGTTTTGTTTTAAATTCTACGTTGTTAGAATATTATTGTGTAGAAATAGCATCTGGGTTTTCTTCTTCAACTTGATGGGTTTTGGAGGAATATTCTGTGTATTGTTGAAGCTAATATTAGATCTTGTTTACCCAGCACTAGATCAAGATCTGATCTGGGTTTTTGCAATCTTCATCAGATTCTCAATACCCATCTTTGTTTAATTTTTATTTTTTTTCCCCTTTGTGTACAGAACATTATCTGAATTTAGAAAAGGGCTCTATTTTATTCAAAGGAAAGCTTTCCATTTTGTTATTAGTCAGAAATTTGTTTGGTGAGAGAGAGAGGGGGGCAATGCATGTTGATAGGGTTCTTGATAAGAACCATTTATTAGCTGCACATGTGATGTTATGCAGATTCTATTGAGTATCAAATATCAATATATCCCCAAACCCCAAGGCCCCTCCTGCAGACAGAGGGCACCCTTCCCTAGCTACCTTACAGAATAATACTGAGAGAGAAGCTTGCCCTTCAAATCACATGCCTTTTCTCTTTTCTTCTTTCTTTTCAGTCACCTCCACTCCTCCACAAGTGAAATGAAAGAAAGACAAAAAAATAAAGGAAAAATATAATGTTTAATTGCAAGAGCTACTACTACCAAAAGTGAGTGAGGAAAAGTCTTTGATTTTGGAACATCTCTTTTGTTGTTCAACTTAACTTGTTTCATCTTTGGATTCTTTTTTATTTATTTATTTAAATTGTTTACTTTGATTCTATTTGGTGGGTGTTAGCTAGTAATTGTTGGAGAAGACGTGGCTATTGCAAGAAGACTTGTCCAACGGGGAATTCCTAGCTTTGTGTTGAGCATGATCATTATTTCTAGTGTGCGAAGAAGACTTCATGATTTTGTTCCTATAGGAACTATTTATAATCATTCTCTTTTCTTCCCTTTTCCTTTTGCTTCTTCTTTTCCAAGTAACACAAATAAATTTGTCGGGTTACGCTCGAACATTTTCTACCCCTACAAATTTATCATAGAAAAGATTGAGCTTGGCATTTCGCAAACAAGAAACTTGGGTTTATCTTGGAGTATTTCTTTAACTTGGGTTTATCTTGGGAGTATTTCTTTGGGTGTTCGTCGAAATGAGTGGTGGTGGTGAAGAAGCACTGACCACTGAAGCCATCATTTATATTCATCTCAAAACTCGTCGTTTTATGACTCTTGATATTCTTAGGCTGAATCATATTTTTGGTGGCCGTAACGTAACTTGCTTTATTTTTCATTTTGGTCTCCATCATTTTGATTTTGACAATTGAGTTTGGTTTGTATTTCTAACAACCTTACACTTGCAGAACTTGATTGCCACCTAAATAAGACTAATATACCTGAAAATGACCAACTGCGGGGATTCAAAATGTAATTGAGCAACTTTGTATACCTTTTTTATTTTCCGTTGAACAAGAAGAAAACTGTGATGGAGTTTTGTCCCTCAGATTATAATTACAATTTTCTTTCATATGCCTATTTGCTTTGGGTATGGTTAAATGGAACAAGAAGAAAAGAAAATCTTTTTTTTTTTCTTCCCTTTTTATTATTATTATTTTTTAAAATAAAATCTTAATTACCATAAATCTATTGGAAGGCAGAGGATTAGGACACCTGTTTCTTTCTTTATCTTTCATTTTTTCGAGAAAAAAAAAAATAACCAAATAGAGGTATTATGAAAATCTATTTTTGTCATTTGTTTTCATTCTAAACCCACTACGAAATTGTCGCATTAGTTAGTATCTCTGATATTTTTGGTAAAATTTTCTAGTACTCTGCTGCACATAGAATTGGGTAGGTTAAGCACAACAGATTGGGCCCAATCCAGATCTTAAATCTTTATGAAATTTCCAGCCCAATTTGCTCAATTTGGCCTACTGCCCTTTTTTGTTATTCGCAAGTTATGTTAGAGCATTTCCAGCAGTCAACTTAGGTCATTCGATTACCGAAGGTCCTCACCTTCTTCCCTATTGAAGATACCACCTTCCTACACATTCCTTTCCTAAGTTGACCCTCCCAAAAGGAGCATCAACAAAACGGTTTCAAAACCTTCAAACCACAGCAACAGAGATCAACATATCAAAAATAGGGTTATCGTACCTCCATTGAAATACCCAGAGCTCTCAAAAAACCCTAAAATTCAATTTCTTAATCTGGGTTTCTTTAATTATGGATTTTCTTTGACAATTTCATGATTGAGGCTTGATTGGTTTCAGAAATTTTTGTACTATTATTTATGGTTGAGGTCACACGCAATTTGGTCATGTGGTAGAATTTCTCTTTGTGAACATCAACATCTTGATGCAGGCCCAAAAACTAGTTTGTTTACTTCTCTAGTTAATTAATTCTGTTTCCCTTACTCTACATGTTTTGCAATGTTTGTGTTGATCATTTAGCCATATTGTTCTTCTTCATTTCTCAACGATGAATTGCTGATATCAAAGTTTGAAAGCTTAATTATGTCCGAGTTTAGTTCATTTTTTAGTAAACACCATGCTAATCAGCTAGATGGTGCTTAATAACCATGCATCAAAGTTCTTGAGGTTCAAGAACATGATTGAGATTATTGGTTTCTAAGTCAGAAACTAGTTTATCAGAGAAAGAAAACCCTCATCAGTGTTTAAACCCAGGCCTCAGATTTGATTTAGGTACAAGCTTAGGCCTCAGATTTTTGTGGGCAAAACCAGAACTTTCCCAATGGATCACAGGATATATGAACACTTATTGTGATAAGAAATTGTAAAACAACATCAGAGCCACTCATGTTAAAGGTTTATTATGTGTTTTAATTTTGCAGTTCATTTTTGGGCCCCAACTTTTAAATGGGGTCTAACCATTGCAAATATTCTTGACTCCTCAAAACCACCTGATGGATTATTGTTGGATTATGTTTGAACCACATGATTCAATTGAGGCCAATGAAAAATTTAACCTCATTGATCGCTTCTTTCTCCCAGACCTACTACTTTATGACTGGAATGCTACATGTAGATTTTTAGTTTGTATTAAGCAAAACAAAGTGATACATTGGGGTCTGCAATGTGGTACATGTAGCAGAACTTCCCTATATAAACATCTTCATTCAGCACCTTTAACCCCGCGCATACAAGCCATTGAAAGAGGGTTAATTAGGTGGTAGAGAGCGTTTATCCCTGCACTCAAAGCCAGAGTTTGAATCCTTCCCTTTTCTTTTGGCCTTCCTTTTAACCAAAAGGAAAGAAAAACCTTACAAAGCTTTGGTCATTGCAGTATTTCAGTCACTAACAAGTTAACAACGGCTATTCGCCTAGAGAAAACAGCGTTCCATCGCCTAATTAAGAGCACTGCTAGCTGCTAGTTGTATTGTAAGGCTGCTTTGTAGCAAGATATGCCTATTACATATACGAATTCATGAAAAACCCAAAGAATATGACATAAACAGGTGATGATTATCAAACCTGATGTGACATAGTATCTAGTGCACCGATCTAATTAGGAAAACATAACATGAACCACATGATTCAATTGAGGCCAATGAAAAATTTAAACTCATCGATCACTTCTTTCTCCCAGACCTACTACTTTATGACTGGAATGCTACATGTAGATTTTTAGTTTGTATTAAGCAAAACAAAGTGATACATTGGGGTCTGCAATGTGGTACATGTAGCAGAACTTCCCTATATAAACATCTTCATTCAGCACCTTTAACCCCGCGCATACAAGCCATTGAAAGAGGGTTAATTAGGTGGTAGAGGGCGTTTATCCCTGCACTCAAAGCCAGAGTTTGAATCCTTCCCTTTTCTTTTGGCCTTCCTTTTAACCAAAAGGAAAGAAAAACCTTACAAAGCTTTGGTCATTGCAGTATTTCAGTCACTAACAAGTTAACAACGGCTATTCGCCTAGAGAAAACAGCGTTCCATCGCCTAATTAAGAGCACTGCTAGCTGCTAGTTGTATTGTAAGGCTGCTTTGTAGCAAGATATGCCTATTACATATACGAATTCATGAAAAACCCAAAGAATATGACATAAACAGGTGATGTACAAGACTTGTATTTCTTAATGGTGAAGATGTTCATGAAAAAGAGTTTAAAATGCCTTCAAAGTCACCTCTCAACAAATGAATAACTTGAACCAGCGGATGTACAATTTTTTAATGGCTTTGACCAAATCATAAAGAGACACAATTTTGATTCTATCCTCTGCTTAAATATTATACAGTGAAGGCCGAAGGCATATGTCGAATCATTGGGGGGATGTGAAGACATCGCACGGGCCAAATGATGATAGGGTGCCGAAGGCCGAAGGCATATGCCGAATCATTGGGGGGATGTGAAGACATCGCACGCGCCAAATGATGATGGGGTGCCGAAGGCCGAAGGCATATGTCGAATCATTGGGGGGATGTGAAGACATCGCACGGGCCAAATGATGATAGGGTGCCGAAGGCCGAAGGCATATGCCGAATCATTGGGGGGATGTGAAGACATCGCACGTGCCAAATGATGATGGTGTGCCAAAGGCCGAAGGCATATGCCGAATCATTGGGGGGATGTGAAGACATCGCGCGCGCCGAATGATGATGGGGTGCCGAAGGCCGATTGTAGGAGGTGCCGGGGGCATGGCTCAAAAGGGTGCCGAGAGCACTCGTGAAGGAGAACGACATAGTATTTTGTATCGCTTCCCACAGACGGCGCCAAACTGTTTGCGTTAAAACTAGACGGGTAGTAAATAGGCCAACTTAAAGATGAGGTGGATGCTGAAGGTAAGGACCCTCAGTGTGTGAGAGCATTCGGTAAGTAAATAGGCATGCATACATAAGACAAATGTACGTGGTTCACCCAAATAATGGGCTACGTCCACGGAGAAGTATGTTCTCATTACGATAATGTGAGTATACATTGCACATAGGTTTAAACTCAAGGAGAAGAGGA